GAATGTGAAGTATAAGAATGGGGAAGAATGGGATAAATGGGTGAATGTCGGGTATGAGGAGATGGGTGAGAAATGGGATTATAAGGTGACTGATAAACATATTCTGTCAGTCTATCTGGTGTCTATCAGTCTATAGTCTATCAGTCACTGGTGTAGACTGTCTATCAGTTACTAGTGTTGACTATGTCTATCAGTTACTAGTGTTGACTATGTCTATCAGTTACGAGTGTTGACTATGTCTATCGGTTACTAGTGTTGACTATGTCTATCAGTTACTAGTGTTGACTATGTCTATCAGTTACTAGTGTTGACTATGTTTATCAGTCACTAGTGTAGACTATGTCTATCAGTTACTAGTGTTGACTATGTCTATCAGTCACTAGTGTTGATTATGTCTATCAGTCACTAGTGCTGACTATGTAGACATAGTGTTGATTATGTCTGTCAGTCACTGGTGTAGACTGTCTATCAGCCATAATCTGATTGCTCTGAGACGCAGCCACTCAGATCAGACATGTGAGTGGCTGCAAAAGTTAAAAGGAGGTAATTTCCCGGTGATAGAACCTTCTGAGGACTTTGAAGGAGGGAAGAAGAGAAGGAACCACCACCAGAACACCACCACACCAGCAACACCACCACACCAGCAACACCACCACACCAGCAACACCACCACACCAGCAACACCACCACCACCAACCCTGACCACCACACCACTACCACCACCACCACAACACCAACGCACCACTACTACCACCACCACAACACCAACGCACCACTACTACCACCACCACCCCACCAACACACCACTACCACCACCACAACAACACACCACCACCACCACAACACAACCAACACACCACCACCACACCACACCACCACCACCACCACCACCACCACAATACCCCCACAAATTCCTGTCCCTCCCAGTAACTACACTCCAACCATCCTGACACACACAGACATCCTCACAGACAGACTGTCGCCGAGGCTGCTGACAGCCACTGCTGTCTACTAATGTTCTGTAACCATTCTCTCACACAACCCACATACACAACCCAAAAAACTTCCTTGGCAAGTCGCCTCAACCCTAAACTCCACCAAACGGACCCAACAATCCATTATAATATATATATATATATATATATATATATATATATATATATATATATATATATATATATATATATATATATATATATATATATATATATATATCGTGCCGAATATGCAGAATTTGCGATCTTGGCTTAAATAGCAACGCTCTTCTTGCCATATAGGACAAGTGAAAATTTGTGTATGCAATAATTTCGCCAAAATCACTCTGAACCTAACGAAAAAATATGTTTGATTGTGTTTGTTTAGTATTAAATTATTGTAAACGTATTTAAAATATATTTAGTTTGGTTAGGCTAAAATAAATTGCTCTTGTTATAATAAGGTTAGGTAAGTTTTCTAAGATTCTTTTGGTGCAAAATTAAAATTTTTTACATTAACATTAATGAAAAAAAATGTATCTTTAAACGTATAAGAGAAAATTTCAGAAAGGTCTTAATTTTAAATGAGTTCTTGCTAATTGACCAGTTTTACATATTCGGCACGACATTATATATATATATATATATACCCCTTCTGGTTTCTAGCCTCTGGTTTCTAGCCTGTTTATGATTTTCTAACAATTTGTCAGAGTATTCTAGTCCAGTTATACTGTAAATTATATGGCTTCTCAACAGTGCTTTTTGGATTACAACTTAATAAATACGAACCAACAAAATGAAAGTTAAAATCTTTAAAAACAAAGGTGTCTAGGTGGTAATAGTTATATTTAATTTAGTTATAATAATTAGGGAGATAAGGTCCTAGATAACTCTTGGGGAATAACTTCTTATATTTATATAAGCTAGTTATTCTGTATATATCACATGGTGCTAAGTGCACACTTAAGATACTGTACTACTCTTAATTAGTATCGTCTGGTACGTTGTTATGATGTGTACTCTTAAGTACAAGAGTAATAAGGTATAAGTGTAAGTGCTCAGTATGTACTCAAATTGACTCGACTTAGACTTAAAATGTGACTGACAGCAACAAGTCCCTAAATAATCTAACTTCTGGTCCATCGAGGCAAATAGCTTGCTTGAATAGTATGACGACCCTTCACCAAACAGCAGTATGGTTGGAAGCAGCAGTGAGCAGCATAGCATCAGATAAATAAGTGTCAGGGACCCAAGACTGTTCAACTGCCTCCCAGCATATATAAGGAGGACTACCAATGGACCCCTGGTTGTCTTTAAGAAGGCGCTGGACAGGCACCTAAAGCTAGTACCTGACCAGCCGTGCTGTGGTTTGTACGTCGATTTCCGTGCACCTAGCAGTAACAGCCTGGTTGATTAGATCCTGATCCACCAGGACCCCTGGTCACAGATTGGGCCATGGGAACGTGGACCCCGAAACCCTCCAGGTATACTCTAGGCAAGAAATCAAGGTGACCAAAAACGGCCCCTAACAGTGGACCTTTAAGAGATCCCACACAGAAGGCCTAATTATTGAAAAAGATTTTAGCATTTCCAATTTCCCGACTACGACAGTGCGTAGATGCCAGAACAATATAGATCAAAAGTTGAACTCGGGACCAGATATATAGTCTCCACGACATAACCTCTGGAGGCTCGAATATCACTAAATCTAATAATACCAAAATAACAACAACCATAACTTCGTTACTGCACCAAACTTTGATACCACAATAACAACAACCACAACTACAACAGCCTCATAACTACTGCACCAAACTTTAATACCACAATAACTACAACCACATCAACCATAACATCCACAACAACAACCACATTACTTGACCAAGCTTTAATACCCTAACAACCACAACCACTACAACCCCATAACTACACAAACTTTAATAACTTGATAATCTAGAGTATTTTAATATCCCAGGGAATAATTTTTAAAATTATCTTCCCGGCAGTAATTATACTGTGGTAATGTTCAAGCTTTCTTACTGGCACTGTCCCAAGCTTTCTAACACTCCCTGCTGTCTTACTGGCACTGTCCCAAGCTTTATAACACTCCCTGCTGTCTTACTGGCACTGTCCCAAGCTTTATAACACTCCCTGCTGTCTTACTGGCACTGTCCCAAGCTTTCTAACACTCCCTGCTGTCTTACTGGCACTGTCCCAAGCTTTCTAACACTCCCTGCTGTCTTACTGGCACTGTCCCAAGCTTTCTAACACTCCCTGCTGTCTTACTGGCACTGTCCCAAGCTTTCTAACACTCCCTGCTGTCTTACTGGCACTGTCCCAAGCTTTCTAACACTCCCTGTTGTCTTAATGGCACTGTCCCAAGCTTTCTAACACTCCCTGCTGTCTTACTGACACTGTCCCAAACTCTTTGACCACCCTGCTGTCTTACTGGCACTGTCCCAAGCTTTCTAACACTCCCTGCTGTCTTACTGGCACTGTTCCAAGCTTTCTAACACTCCCTGCTGTCTTACTGGCACTGTCCCAAGCTTTCTAACACTCCCTGCTGTCTTACTGACACTGTCCCAAACTCTCTGACCACCCTGCTGTCTTACTGGCACTGTCTCAAGCTTTCTAACACTCCCTGCTGTCTTACTGGCACTGTCCCAAGCTTTCTAACACTCCCTGCTGTCTTAATGGCACTGTCCCAAGCTTTCTAACACTCCCTGCTGTCTTAATGGCACTGTCCCAAGCTCTCTAACACTCCCTGTTGTCTTACTGACACTGTCCCAAACTCTCTGACCACCCTGCTGTCTTACTGGCACTGTCCCAAGCTCTCTGACCACCCTGCTTTCTTACTGGCACTGTCCCAAGCTTTCTGACCCACCCTGCTGTCATACTGGCACTGTCCCAAGCTCTCTGACCACCCTGCTTTCTTACTGGCACTGTCCCAAGCTTTCTGACCCACCCTGCTGTCATACTGGCACTGTCCCAAACTCTCTGACCACCCTGCTTTCTTACTGGCACTGTCCCAAGCTTTCTGACCCACCCTGCTGTCATACTGGCACTGTTCCAAGCTCTCTGACCACCCTGCTTTCTTACTAGCACTGTCCCAAGCTTTCTGGCCCACCCTGCTGTCATTCTGGCACTGTCCCAACCTCTCTGACACAACAACTCTCTTTCTAGCACTGTACCAAGTAACGAGGTGTCAGAGTGGGTGCCTGTGACGAGTGGGTTTCACAGGGGTCAGTCCTAGGACCGGTGCTGTTTACGGTATATGCGAACAACATGGCGGAAGGGATAGAAGTATCCCTGTTTGCAGACACTGTGATGCTGTTGAAATTCAACCGGATGAAGATCAGGCAGGACTACAAAGGGATCTGGACAGGCTGAAAGCCTGGTCCAACAACTCTCTGGATTTCTCACATTATCAAGGACTTTGATAATGTAAGAAATCAAGAAAGCCCTTGGAATTTCACTATTTTTTCACAGTGGTTGTTTGTCATGTTGTGATATCACCTGTTTACTGTGATCGTATTGCATAGTATTACCTAGAATAAGTCTAAGTGCCTTATTTCCATTGTAATGTCTTATTTAAACCTGAAAAGTTAAAACAGCTATGTAACTCAGCTGTGTGAAAAGCAATGTGACCTTTTTATATACAGTGTGCATATGAAGTAAAACTTTTCAATAAAACTTAAGATTATTTAGGCACAGTCAAACATGAATACAATTATCATACATTGTGTACATTACCCACCAGGATAAACGCCCCAAAAAAGTCAAAGTTACTTATTTCCATTGGTGTTCTTGACTTATTTCCATTGGTGTTCTTGACTTATTTCCATTGGTGTTCTTGACTTATTTCCATTGGTGTTCTTGACTTATTTCCATTGGTGTTCTTGACTTATTTCCACTGGTATTCTTGACTTATTTCCATTGGTGTCCAAACTACATTTTAAGGGGAATTCTTTTGTCTAAATAGTACTGTCTGAAACTGAAACATAAAGAAATGTGGTATTTACTTACTGTCTGCCAGGAGGAGATGAGTGAAGAGGAGCAGCAGTAGGAAGACGAGCAGTGATGCTGGCTTCATTACTCGTGAGGAAGGGGTACTCTTCTCCTGTAAACTCCCAAGTTAACCCGTGAGTGTAGCTTGTTCAAGAGAATTTACGACCTGTGGGTGTGGTGGGGCGTGTGGAGTTCACATTGTGCCTCAACAGGTGGCTGAACACCCACCACAAACACAGTATTCTCACCACAGCTCACTTACGTCTAAATTGCAATCATCAAATAACCGAACTTTCTCAACATACAGGCGATATTATACTTTTTTCAGAAATATGAAGTATAAATCTCCATCTACAGATTAGAAATGTATATATGTGTATTTTTGAGTGCAGTGTGGCTTTATTATTTTCAAATAGCCACTTCAGACTTCAAAATCACTCTTTGAGAACACCATAAACACGACCACACTTTATTACCTCAGTTTACCCTCTCACCTGGGCCTCCTGACCACTCACAACATACGTTTAACTCAAACAAAAAGCCTATACTTTTTTCTTTAGATGACAAATAAATATAATTATATATGTAATTGACTTCAGTTAATCAGATAGCGTTTATTTCTTAAAATGAGGAAGTAATAGCATATTCCTCCACGGATTTTTTTTTCTATTTATCCAAAGGTGGATCAGCGCCACTCACAGAAAACGGAGACTTGATGGGACGTGTGTTCCCGTGGATGGTCCAACAGCGTCTACTTCCCAGCCTCACCATTCCCCATTCCCAGTCCCAATTCCCGCCTCCCAACGCTTAACCTCAGCGCACCGGAGCCTGGAATCACGGGAGGGGGGATTCACGAGGCGCATACCGCGAAATCTGGATTACGAGCGCCAACCGCAGATCGATTAGCGTTCTTTTTGTTATGTTTTGTTTTTCTGGTGATAGGCGAAATTTACTCATTGGTCATTCTCTCACTGAGCGAAACGTTTCAAGATATCTTCTGCCACGCTGTTTCACCCCTGATGAAACGAAGTGGCTTCAGCCTCGCTGTTTCACCCTGAGTGAAACTTTTCGAAATGCCTTCAGGGTCGCTGTTGGTGGTCGAAATGTTCCACAGGAGCTCCAGCCTCGATGTTTCGCAACATTTCGACGTGAACTTGTCCAATACCGTCAAATGAAATCATCCATATGTAATTTTAAAGGCTTCAAAATCTGGAGCCAAGGCTCCAAGGACTCTTCCAAAGGCTCCAAGGACTCTTCCAAAAGCTCCAAGGACTCTTCCAAGGGCTACAAGGACTCTTCCAAAGGCTCTAAGGACGCTTCCAAAGGCTCCAAGAGCTCTTCCAAAAGCTCCATGGACTCTTTCAAAGGCTCCAGGAGCTTTTCCAAAGGCTCCAAGGACTTCCAAAGGCTCCAAGGACTCTTCCAAAGGCTCCAAGAGATCTTCCAAATTCACCAAGGGCTCTTCCAAAAGCCCCAGGCGTTCTTTCGAAGGCGGCAAACGGTCTTCCAAAGGCTTCAAGCGCTGTTTCAAAGGCTCCAAGAGCTCTTTCAAAGGCTCCATGCGCTATCTCAAAAGGCTCTACCAAAAGTTTCCTGAATCAGGGAAGCATAGTATGGTCCACTAAACGGCAATGCGCGTATTTTCCTGGTATATTTTCATGACGTATTTTCCTGCCGTATACGCCCGGATTAACGAGTCCAGCCTTTTAAGACTTCAAAAAGATTTTAGACTCAAGAGAAATGCTTTGAAATATTCAATATATATTGTTTTTGAAGGCTATTTTCGTTTACCTAATTTAATATATATGTATATATATATATATATATATATATATATATATATATATATATATATATATATATATATATATATATATATATATATATATATATATATGTCGTGCCGAATGTGTAAAACTGGTCAATTAGCAAGAACTCGTTTAAAATTAATTTCTTTCTGAAATTTTCTCATATACGTTTAAAGATATATTTTTTTCATTAATGTTAATGTAAAAATTTATAATTTTGCACCAAAAGAATCTTAGAAAACTTACCTAACCTTATTATAACAAGCATAACCCAACTAAATATATTTTAGATTTGTTTACAATAATTTAATACTAAACAAACAGTGAAATATATTTTTTTCGTTAGGTTCAGAATGATTTTGGCGAAATTATTGCATACACAAATTTTCACTTGTCCTATATGGCAAGATGAGCCTTGCTATTTAAGCCAAGATCGCAAGTTCTGCCTATTCGGCACGACATATTTTATATATATATATATATATATATATATATATATATATATATATATATATGCAATAAGATCACAGTAAACAGGTGATTTCAGAATATGCAAAACAACCACTCTGAAAGAATAGAGAAATTCCAAGCGCTTTCGTGACTACTCACATTATCAAGGAACTTGATAATGTGAGTAGTCACGAAAGCGCTTGGAATTTCTCTATTCTTTCAGAGTTGTTGTTTTGCATATATATATATATATATATATATATATATATATATATATATATATATATATATATATATATATATATATATATATATATATATATATATAAATGTAAGGATGATAGAGGAGCAGGAAGGGGGGTGAGGTGAACTTGATAATACGTCAGTTTTACGACGCATTAATATCGTTGTAAGACGACATTCATGACTCCCTTTTGTGCAGTTCACCAGTGACGCTTGACTCTCTTACCTGCTTATTGTATTGTTATTGTATTGTAATGTATTGTGTATTGTAGTGTATTGTAATGTAGTGTATTGTGGTGTATTGTAGTGTATTGTAGTGCAGTGTATTGTGGTGTAGTGTATTGTAGTGTATTGTAACGCAGTGTTCTGCGGTGTATTGTATTGTATTGTAATACAGTGTATTGAAATAGTGTGTGTATATATATATATAAATATATATATATATATATATATATATATATATATATATATAATATATATATATATATATATATATATGTGTGTGTGTGTGTGTGTGTGTGTGTGTGTGTGTGTGCGCTTTTCAATATTTTCTTTCCAAGACTTTCTCTTTAAGACTTTCTCTTAAAGACTTTCTCTTCCCACGAGAAAGCTACCAAGACTGCAATCAGGTGTACGTTATTCTGGAGACACTCAGAAATAGCATTTCTGATGTGAACATGTTCTGAGTGCCTCTCACACTTCTCCGGCACCACAATCAGAAGCCAATCGAAAATCAAACACTCAGATTCGTCGAATCTGAGTGTTTACCTGGAGAGAGTTCCGGGGGTCAACGCCCCCGCGGCCCGGTCTGTGACCAGGCCTCCTGGTGGATCAGAGCCTGATCAACCAGGCTGTTGCTGCTGGCTGCACGCAAACCAACGTACGAGCCACAGCCCGGCTGATCAGGAACTGGTGCCAGGGAAAGTACACTTCTCACAAGGGGTGACAACTGGAAGTTAAAGACTCAGGTGAATCACAGGGATGTTAGGAAGTACTTCTTCAGTTATAGAGTTGTCAGGAAGTGGAACAATCTGGAGAGTGAGGTAGTGGAGGCAGGAACCATACATAGCTTCAACAAGAGGTATGATAAAGCTCATGGAGCAGGGAGTGGATCTAGTAGCGAACAGTGAAGAGACGGGGCCATGAGCTATGACACAACCCTAGCAGCCACAATTAGGTGAATTGAGTACACACACACACACACACACACACACACTACAAGGTTCAAACCACAAGGTTCAAACTACAAGGTTCAAACTACAAGGTTCAAACCACAAGGTTCAAACTACAAGGTTCAAACTACAAGGTTCAAACCACAAGGTTCAAACCACAAGGTTCAAACCACAAGGTTCAAACTACAAGGTTCAAACTACAAGGTTCAAACCACAAGGTTCAAACCACAAGGTTCAAACTACAAGGTTCAAACCACAAGGTTCAAACCACAAGGTTCAAACCACAAGGTTAAAACTACAAGGTTCAAACCACAAGGTTCAAACCACAAGGTTCAAACTACAAGGTTCAAACTACAAGAAGCTGAACCTCCAGCAGCATCACCACATCTGGCACTCTCCCAGGACTCCTGAATCTGCACGCTCTCCCAGCGTACCAGAATTTAAAGAGTAAATATGATGTCTGTAGAAGGCACTCTCTGTCGCAAACACAGCTTGCAACTGTCAATAAAGTAAGATAAACTTTACTGACAGCACATATATATATATATATATATATATATATATATATATATATATATATATATATATATATATATATATATATATATATATATAATGTGGAAGAGTGAAACTTAAAACGACGTTTCAATCCGATTTGGACCATTAACTAGTCAGACAGAATCGCGATGGGAAGGGAGCCATTAGGTGCGATATGGGGGCGGGGCCGGGAGTAGTAGAACGAGAGGAAGAAATAGTAGTATAATCGTAGTAGTAGTAGCAGCAGTATACGTGCAGCAGTGGCAGAGGCGGTAATGAGAAGGGAATAGTGGTAGTGGTGGTGGTAGCAGCAGCAGCAGTAGTAGTAGTAGTAGTAGTAGTAGCAGTAGCAGTAGTAGTAGTAATAGTAGTAGTAGTAGTAGTAGGGGATACAACTCACAGGATGGAACCCACGTAAGTAAAAGGAATTGTGGATGATTTGTGTATGGTTCTATACGGTGTAGAAGGGTGATGTTTACAGGATGTCCTCAGGACGTCTACACGTCTTACACAGGTCCTCTACACGTCTTACACAGGTCCTCTACACGTCTTACACAGGTCCTCTACACGTCTTACACAGGTCCTCTACACGTCTTACACAGGTCCTCTACACGTCTTACACAGGTCCTCTACACGTCTTACACAGGTCCTCTACACGTCTTACACAGGTCCTCTGCACGTCTTGTACATGATTATATTGGACTGTAATTCATTCTTTCCTGCTGAAAGCACTTCAGTGGGTGACCATGTGTGTTAGTGGGTTATTGTAAGACTATCATCCCACTAATAGATCCTCTCTCTCTCTCTCTCTCTCTCTCTCTCTCTCTCTCTCTCTCTCTCTCATCTATCTCTCCAGCATCATTAATCAGTATTTAGATGCAAGACTTTGTCAGGGTAGGGAATTGTGTGTGTGTACTCACCTAATTATGGTTAGAGGGGTCGATTCACAGCTCCTGGCCCCGCCTCTTCACTGGTCGCTATTAGGTCCTCTCTCCCCCTGCTCTATGAGCTTTATCATACCTCGTCTTAAAACTATGTATGGTTCCTGCCTCCATTACATCACTTGCCAGACTATTCCACTTCCTGACAACTCTGTGACTGAAGAAATACTTCCTGACATCTCTGTGACTCATCTGAGTCTTCAACTTCCAACTGTGACCTCTTGTTTCTGTGTCTCATCTCTGGAACATCCTGTCTCTGTCCACCTTGTCAATTCCTCTCAGTATTTTATATGTCGTTATAATGTCTCCCCTCTCTCTTCCGTGTGTGTGTGTGTGTGTGTGTGTGTGTGTGTGTGTGTGTGTGTGTTTGTGTGTGTTTTAAAAACTAAATCAAAATGTCACTCTGCTCAAACAGAGCGAAAATTACTAGGAAAAAAAATACGAACGAAGAGTGAGATGCCCATCAACTCCATGATAGAAATTCCACCTTCAAATTGACGCAAAATATCCTCCCTTCCCTCCCCTTCCTCTCTCTCTCTCTCTCTCACTCTCTCTCTCTCTCTCTCTCTCTCTCTCTCTCTCTCTCT